TTTATTTTTAATTGAAAAATCTGGTTTTTGTCATCATCAAAAAGGGGGAGATTGTTAGAACATAGTTTGATTCTACAACCCTTGATTAGAGTTTTGATGATAACAAAATACAAAGAATAAATAAATTCAAAGATATATATATAAAACAAATATGCTGCTTAAAATTATGTTTTGTATATACAGAAGTTCTGATGGAATCAGCACCAGAAGATCAGTAACATGTGCTACACGCTGAAGCTACCAGATTATACGCTGAAGCTTGATGACCAGAATCTGCGCATAAACATATACACTCTAACTCTGATCAAAGATCTTTACCAAGTCATTAGCACGCAGAAGCGTCATCGTAAGTTAAAGCAAAGAACACTCTGAAGCGTTATCATAAGCAAAGAAGACTCTGAAGCGTTATTAAGTATTCAAGACAGAATTAAATGCTAACGGCTATCCTCAGACAAGATCTTCTCAAAAAGGAAAGTGCGTTATTATCATTAAAATGGCTTTATGGACAACGTATCTCTGTCTTGCCTTTTAAAACAAGTCTGTGTGAGAAAAGACGCACGAATGCACTCACATAATTTTCCAAGCCTTCAAAACCACGCTTACTCAAACGCTTTAGCAAATTCAGTTTATTCCAAGCTTAAATTGTGTAATTATCACAGTTGTGATATATTGTTTTATTAGAAAATGTTAACACATCATTGTTCAAATTATTTGTAAAAGATTTCCTTGAGATAAACCGGTTTGTGGTTATACTCAAGAAGGCTTTAACAGTTGTTAAAGTAGATGTTGTAATCCTTTGAATATAGTGGATTAAGACCTCGTTGGAGAGAGGCGAAATCACCTTGACGGGTGGACTGGAGTAGTTTGAGATCAAACGAACCAGGATAAAAATATTGTGTTGTCTAAGCATTTGTTTTAAGTTTTACAATTCAACCCCCCTTCTTGTGTTTTTCACATCTTCATATAAGATGGGGAGGCTCCTCTCCATCTTCTGATGTTGTCATTCGTGCTTCCCGCTCTTTCTTCCTCTGTGTCTTCGGGTCATCTTTGGTGAAGCAAGTGTCAAGATCAATCGAGTCGACACAAGGAATCAACTTTGGCTTCTCTGAGCTGTTGGGACGAGAAGGCTTGTCAATGGTCCTAGATGACGTGTCGGTGAAGTTATACCCTTTAGCGGCTACTTTAAAGCATCTCCTCGCAGCTTCAATGTCCTCGTATAGAGTGGCGACGAGGTCCTTAGGGTGTAGTACTTCATCTTCAGGTGGACTGTGGAAGGGATGACGATCAGTTCAGACAGAGTTGGTCTTCCTAGGATGCATTGGTATAGACAATGACATTCTATCACTAGAACACGGTCTCAGATGCTTTGAAGGTGACGATCAGCTCGACTTAACCCCATGGTCTTGTGGTCGCTCCGTTGAAACTCTACAGATCAGATCCCACGTAGGGTGTCAAATGAGTTTTGCCCAGTTGTATGGTCTTGAACATGTGAGTCTACATTATACCGATCTAGCTTCCTTGATCGACTAGAATGGGGCGCATCGAAGTTCGTCATTCATGCTCTCACAAGCAGAGGGATGCTGAAGTTAGGAGAGCTACAAGGAAGCTCCTCTTAGTAGAATGTGATGGGGTTTGAACTTCCCTATCACTTCTCGAGGGTAGAATTCTGGATCGAGCTTACGTCGATAAGTTCCTCGAACTTTTGCTTCACCAAGCCTATGGTGAAGTTGTTGAATGCCCCGCCAGATATGACCATGGCGGAGGGGAAAGACTCCCAAGGGCTGTGCGCGGAAATGTAGAGGGGGAAGTTATACTTCTCGGGGACCAAGAAGTCCTCTGGTCGGAAAACGCTTATGACGATCTGGATATTGGTGTCGTTAGAGGATGGAATTTCCTACTCGACCCTATTTGCTTCTCGGGCCTCTTGCCGAGGGGACTCCCTTTTCTGGTACCACTTCAGATGCCCGTCTCTAATGAGAACCTCAATTACGTCGTTGAGGTGGATATAGTCCTCGGTAATGTACCAGTGGCTTTTGCAAAAATGACAGAACTTAGTCTTGTCCATATTAGGCTTTAGGGGCGTTTGTTTTGGGAAGCAAACTCTGGCTTGGCAAAATTCCAAGTTTGCGCACTCAGAAAAAATGCGCTCGCGAGAGGAGATCAATAAAGTGTAATCAAATAAGCGACCAACTGCTCCTTTGTGTTCTAGAGGCTCGCGGGGCTTGTCCTCATTTCTTTTCTCTACTCCTCGACGAGGTATCATGTCATCTTGCCTCGAAGCTCAAGCACTCTCCTACCGTTGTGAATCCCGAGCAATTTTGGCGGCCTCAATTTCCTCGTATCGAGCGTAAGATTGGCCCTTGGGGAGGAGGGTCTATAGCGAAGCGGGAGTCTTAATGCCAACTGCTTCGGCGAAGTCTCTACAGGGGCGCGCGCCCCAATCGAGTAAGTACTTATTCATATCGTCGGTCACGAAGACCTAGACGGCTTCCCATTTGAATCTCTCAATATAAGCTCTGAGAGGTTCGTCTTTTTCCTAAAATATTGCTTCGAGTGTTGCTTTTATCTTAGGGTGTCGTCGAGAAGCAGTGGAGTGTCTTGAGAATTGCTTCTTTAGGTTTGTCCAGGAAGTGATGGACTCTTCTACAAGGCTTTTATACCATGCCATGGCGCCCTTCCGTAGAGTGGTGGGAAACAGTCTGCATCTGACGGCGTCGTTGACACGGCGGTAGTCTAGGAAAACATTAATATTCTCGAGGTGGTCATCTGGATTAATTGTTTCGTCGTACGTCCCCAGATTTGGCGATTTTTCCAGCCTGACGGGGATGGCGATTTCTCGAGATAGTGGTCCGCTGGGTCCATCTCCGTCGCTCTAAATTGGTGATGAGGGTGGAGACTGGATGTGTCTCCCCTGTCTGGGGCTACCCCCACAGCGTGGAGGTGAGTTTCGTGGACAGGCTTTCAGCCTGCGGGGAGGTGAATGGATGTTTTTCTTGGTGACCGAGGAACGTCGGTCCTTGCGGGGAGGGGTTCGGTCGTACTTCTTGGTGGTCAATGGTTGTTGCCTCTCTAGTGGAGGGCGGTGAATTGGTCATCATGTCGCTGGTGTCTCCACGGGGGAGAGCGTGAACGACGATCTCTCTCGAGCGCTCTGATCTCTTGATTGTGGAAGTGAATCATCGAGTTAGTTTGGTTGATCATTGTGGAAAGAGCCGACATCGTCAGGTCGGCGTTGGGGGCACTAGAATTGGTTAAAATACCTCAGGAGTTGGCTCGTAAGCCTCATGATTCCTATGCGTTTTGACATACAACGCGAGATCTTCCTGGTTGTCCTCGGAAAATGGGGAAGCAGTGTGTCTGTCTCTCCTCGTTGGAGTGATGTCCTCCAGCTCATGGATGTTGTTGTTATCGTCGTTGTTACGGACAGAGGAGATGACGGTGTTCAGAGTGTCATTCTTGTCATTGGGACCAACCATGATTGGTTCTTAGTCATTTGTTTTGATCTTCTGTTTTAGAGTGAAAGAAGATGGAGAAACAATATTCCCACAGACGGTGTCATTCATCATTCCTGGATTAGAAAGGGATATGTGTGTGGCCGGTCCAATCGTTTGACGGTCTGGATGCTCCTCGGAGGGGGAGTTACATGCAAGGCACTCTGATGCTAAAGTAAAAAATAGTGAGAGGTAAGTGAGTATGAGAATTATGAATGAGATACCTGACTCTCCTACGTAGGAGAGTATTTATAAAGCCTCTGACGCTGGGCCAATGACCTCTATTATGAGCTGAGTATCAAGGCACATAATGGATGGCTGCCAAGAATCTCACGTGGTAGTGAGGATGAACAGCATGTGCCCATCATCCTGGGTCAAGTGCTCCACGGATTTCACGGGTAGTGGACTGACCACGTCCATTACATGGATCGTAACGGCTCCGAAGAGTGCAGAGCACGTTTATGATGTGTCATCAGGTGAGGAACACGTGGATGATGTGTCATGGGGCAAGGAGCACGTGGATGACACGTCTTCAGCTTAAATCCCATAGGATTAGCCATCATTTGGGCCGCTACGAACGCTATGGCAAGTTTTGGGTCATGCCCGACTTTGGGTCGTGCTCCGACCCAGTCCAAAACTTTTGCTAAAGTTAAGAACAATTACTGAAATAAATGTAAAATCTTTTAATAAGACCATTCTAATAAAAAAGTGTTTTGAAAATATTAAACTGATTTGTGACACTAAACAGGTTTCAAACTAGTTAGAAATCAAACTGAAACTAATTTAAAAGTTAATGAGATTTTTATAAAATTAACATAGTTGAACTTGATTTAATTTATGAACCAAGTAAATCTTAGTCATACATTGAGGTACGGCAATATCATTAATTACATCACGGAACATTAGGGTTGATCAATCACTTTTAACTTGTAAAACCATTTTTACAAGTTTTATAATCAATCCATTAAAAAAATGATGAACCAATTCTACAAAGAACCAAAATTATATATGATCAAATGAGTTGAATGAGTTAAATAACCATAGTTCAAACCACGGTTAAAGGAAAATTACAAATACTAATTTAACAACTAATACGTCTATAAGAAAATTGGCCTCAACATTTATCCAATCATTCTTTGTTTATTCCTGACATCATTCTATAAAAGCTGTTGTCTTCATGCCTTTATTCAATAAACAACATTTTCGTGGATATGGGTGAAACGTTAGTTGGCTATTTGTGTTAATAATACTCCCTCCAAAGACAAATTACACCCACCAACGAGTAAATCTTCATATTAAGTTGAACATATAAATGTGTAATGTTATACAAACGTTTAATCACCTAAGAACTAGGATTAGGGTGTTACTGTTAGTACAGAAAATAGGCAATGTACATGCTAGAATTTGAATTCCCTCCAACGGTGTAAAGAAAATTCCCTCCAAAATCCACGAGATGAGGAAAGGATGCATATCGATATTTGAAAGTAGCATTACTCGACAGTAAGAGCTTCAACGGTGTGTTAAAAGCTTAAGAATCTCGGTAGCCTCCTTCAATCTTCTATCTGTGTTTTCTTTAGCAGTAACAACTGTACTAGGAGTAGGACCCCGAAGATTACTGCAATTTTGAAAAACAGTTAGATGAATCGCATTAATTTCATCTTAATTAGAACAAACACATTTTCCAAGGAGCTAGAGTGCAACCTTTTTGGGTTATAAGTGACCTTCCTAGCAAGCTTCTCAACAAGACTACGCAGTCTCCTTAGTAAGGCAGGGGAATTAATTATGGTGTTGACGCCTTGGTGAGTTGAGCATATTTCCTTCAAAAGCCCAGAAGCAATGAAGAAGCTCTCCTCATTATTCCTGATACAGGTTTTAAAAGTTACAGCTTATAAGAAAAAGACAAGAATTCTATATCAACTTTCAACTGCTAACTACTAATAAATATTGATATTTGAAACCTTGTTAACTCCAAAACGATTGTTTGTATAGATCGATGTGTTTGTATCAACACTTCCAGTAGATGAGGATAGCGAGCAAGATTTCGGAGAGTTGATAAAACATGCTTTAAAACCTCTTGATCAGGAATACTCCGGCTGAGTGATCCAATAAGCTGCAGCAAGGTCTCAATGGCCCCAGCAGCCACAAGTTCTTCACAGCATCTTTGAGAATGGCATGTCGCCAAATCTGCAAAATCCAATCACTTTTATATGATTTTCTAATTAGAAATAGAATTAGAGCACAAATCTAAAGAAACTAAGATGAATGCTTCAAAAGCCATCTACTAAAAGTTTTTAATAAGATTTAGTTCTCACTCAATGTTGAACAAGTATGAAGGATGTCACTGAGACTCGTCATATTTAGTAGCTTTGAAAGCGCTGCCAAGAGTCTGTTTATGAGCCGTTTGCTATCATCCACATTTTTGGAAGACTCTTGCAGTCTCGAGCGCAAATCCATTAGCTGTTTTGTTGACTGCTTACGAGCAATGTAACCTTTCCAGTGGGACTACAAAAATTATAAGAAAAAACAGAAGACAAATTAGCAAAGACTAAAATTCAGGCTCCAGTTAAAATAAGAAGCAATGGCACCATAAGAAATATGCACTTGTTACATGTAAGACACTTTAGGATAAACTAAAAATCAAGTGGAGCAAAAAAAATGGGTAAGATTTTGTACTATATAGTCAACCCCATAACCATAACACAATTTTCAGGTTTTCCAAACAAAAGGCAACTCGATGCAATAAAACCAGTGGAAAAATTTAGGAAAGAAGAAGCTCATTGTGGAGCTATACGCAACCTTTGTATTAGACAGGAACCTATGACAATAAGTCACAACTCACATGACAACAACTCACATCATTGCTACTTCCTTCACTTATCTAAGGGAGAGATGGAAAATATGTTTCAGAGAAGTTTTATCAGTTGTCATCTACTGCCAAAAATTTCCATGAAAGAGTAATCAATAAATATGGTTCAGAAACTAGCAGTCAAACAGTGAGAACTACATTGGGGTATATGATGCTGAGTTGATAACTATTACTCCATCTGTTTTTTATCATGTTGTTTTACAATATCAAGGAATTATTTATGCTACTTTTTCAATTATAATAAAAAACGGAGGTAGTAAAATACAATACCTGTATGATAATAATATCATGCCTATAAAAGGTAGCCCTTCGCCTGGCTATCCATCCACGAATTTGAGACTGTATAATGATTACAAACCTTGTCCTCAATTTAAGTAACAAAGAGATGCAAAACGACTTATAATAAAAACGGAGGTAGTAAAATACAATACCTGTATGATAATAATATCATGCCTATAAAAGGTAGCCCTTCGCCTCGCTATCCATCCACGAATTTGAGACTGTATAATGATTACAAACCTTGTCCTCAATTTAAGTAACAAAGAGATGCAAAACGACTTATAATAAAAACGGAGGTAGTAAAATACAATACCTGTATGATAATAATATTATGCCTATAAAAGTTAGCCCTTCGCTTGGCTATCCATCCACGAATTTGAGACTGTATAATGATTACAGACCTTGTCCTCAATTTATGTAACAGAGATGCAAAACGACATAATAAAAAAATGGAGGTAGTAAAATACAATACCTGTATGACAATAATTTGATGTCTATAAGCATTGGCCCTTTGCCTTGCTACCCACCCGCGAATTTGAGCCTGTATAATGGTTACAGACCTTGTCCTCAATTTATGTGACAAGAGATGCTTCCACCATCGTTGCAATTTCACTACTTGAAACAAGAATAGTTTCAACTGAAAACTAGAACAGCCAGTTGGTTTTGAAATGCATCCAGCAGCAACTACACGCGGCTTAGAAGCACTGCCTACACAATAAGACAAAATAGAAGTACACAATATATGTAAATATGAAAAACACGACTAAATCACTCAATCACAAGCTCAATGAAATAAAATATAAAATGATGAAAAGATGGAAACATAATACCTAATATCAAATTTCGAGTTAAATGTCCCCTAATATAGCGTTGGATCTCCAATGCGGCATTTTCCTGGCAATTAAGAGACTTAGGTAATAAATAGGAACAAACAAATAGTAAAAAGGAAAACAAAATTCTAGTCATAAAGCAAATTAAAATCATAAAAATCAGGCAACAGTTACAAGCAGTAGCAGTAACACCATAAGTGATTTGATTGATCCAACATGCAATGCCCTATATGCATATACATCACTTTTATAGTTACAAACCATAGCATATCATATAGAGGTCCTATCTACTCGAGTTAAAATTGTGAAAAAAAATTGTAAAAATTGTAAAATTTAGTAATACTATCTACTCAAGTTTTCCACATTTATAGTTATTGCGGCATCTTTAAATCAATATATACATATAATAGCTCAGTCAAATTACTATGAGCTTATAAACAGACAAACAAATGAGCTGCAGTATCATGATTTTTTTTGTGACAAAAAAGTAATGATAAAAATAGAATATCATACTTCCATGACATTAGTATGGTGTTTCTCAACTGTGTCCTTTCGTCTGGCTATCCATCCACGTGTACAAGACTGGATTGTGACGGCTGATCTATTCATTAGTTTAAGCAACAAGAGACCCTTCCACCACCTTTGCAATTTCACTACTGCACACATGAGTGCTTCAAGTTGAAAACTACGAAAGCCAACAGGTCTTGAAATGCAACTACCAGTAATAGCTGCACGTGACTTGGAAGCACTACCTACTCAACATACATGAGATGATAATCTTAGCACGATGATGAGAAACCGTAACTAGAGAAAAATTAGCTTTGTAGAAACTAAACTATCAAACAATCACCTAATAGCCGATTTCGAGTTAAATGCCCCCTGATGGAGCGCTGGATCTCCAATGCAGCATCTTTCTGACAATTGAGTGTCTTCTGACAGATCAAACTTCTACTGATACTCTGGATTGTGACGGCTGATCTATTCATTAGTTTAAGCAACAAGAGACCCTTCCACCACCTTTGCAATTTCACTACTGCACACATGAGTGCTTCAAGTTGAAAACTACGAAAGCCAACAGGTCTTGAAATGCAACTACCAGTAATAGCTGCACGTGACTTGGAAGCACTACCTACTCAACATACATGAGATGATAATCTTAGCACGATGATGAGAAACCGTAACTAGAGAAAAATTAGCTTTGTAGAAACTAAACTATCAAACAATCACCTAATAGCCGATTTCGAGTTAAATGCCCCCTGATGGAGCGCTGGATCTCCAATGCAGCATCTTTCTGACAATTGAGTGTCTTCTGACAGATCAAACTTCTACTGATACTCTGGATTGTGACGGCTGATCTATTCATTAGTTTAAGCAACAAGAGACCCTTCCACCACCTTTGCAATTTCACTACTGCACACATGAGTGCTTCAAGTTGAAAACTACGAAAGCCAACAGGTCTTGAAATGCAACTACCAGTAATAGCTGCACGTGACTTGGAAGCACTACCTACTCAACATACATGAGATGATAATCTTAGCACGATGATGAGAAACCGTAACTAGAGAAAAATTAGCTTTGTAGAAACTAAACTATCAAACAATCACCTAATAGCCGATTTCGAGTTAAATGCCCCCTGATGGAGCGCTGGATCTCCAATGCAGCATCTTTCTGACAATTGAGTGTCTTCTGACAGATCAAACTTCTACTGATACTCTGGATTTTTATTATAGCATCTCTTTGAAGCACAAAATCTCGTTTCACAAGCCAACCGCGGCAATGCCTCTGGAATAATTCGAGTTGCAAATTACATAATATTCTAAAAGTAAAACCTCATAAAATTGGAAGGCATTTCTCTAAAATTTAAGAAAACCAGACTAAAATAACAATTGAATTAGTAATATCATGGAACAAACATATATGAAGACAGTCCAACTAAAAGCTGATTTGGGAATCCTTTAGTTGACATGTATGCATTCTAACATATGAATACTTAACATAGGTGGCTACAGTATTATTCTAAAAAAACCAACACCACAATAACTCATTAACTTTTTTGTGTTAACAAGAAAGTAATACAGAGTATATGCAAAGAACAAGATTATGAAGAAAAGAACACGAGCAAATGTCTTACTTGAATCTCAACAATCTGATTCCTACGAGCACAAGCATGCTTCCGAGCAATCCATCCACGAAAAGAAGATTGAACGACAATAGCAGCCTTAAACAAGGCTTTGAAGTTCTGAATAGCATTCACACATCTCCACATTCGAAAATATGATTGAATTCTTATGACAGCATGAATCTGATTTAAAAATTCTTTTCTCATTAACCACCTACGGAAATTACATTGAATTTTAGTTGCAAACAAGTGCTCCTTGCTTGTAGACTTGCAGCTTATGTAGTTTTTCCAAGCATGCTGAATGGTAACAGCTGCCTTTGTTTTAAGATCAGAGATAATTTTCTGTTCAGAAAAATTTAAAGCTTCTTCTTTTTGATCTAGTTCACAAATATATCTAGATTGCGCCATCCAACCACGAACAAATTTCTGAACAGTAGTGGCAGCAGTCACTGTGTCTGAAATTATGAGGTCAGGACTTATACTACATCCTTTTTCAGACCTCCAATAGAGCCAACTCCTCACTGATTGCTGGATAAGTTGTGCTGACCTTTTCAACCTCAAAAAAGAATGTCTATCATAGAAAAGCACGGCATACCTCTCATATACTTCTGATTGCTTCAATGTTTCTGTATGAAATAAAAATGTGCCAATAAGTAATAAAACATAATGCCAATATATTCATGAGGTTAAATAAATAGTAAACTAATACCACATGAGATATCACAGATTGGACCAGCAGTGAATATCATGCAAACCGGCTCCTGCCTTACTTTCTTCCTAGCTCGGAAAACAGTCTGCAAAAGGATAACAGCATCTACCATCTTGAGAAACGTGCGCCGTACAACCAGTCCTTTGATATGTGCTTGTATTTTTCTTGCAGCATCTTCTGAAAACAAATCTACAATTGTCAACATGAAAACAAAAACGTCCAGAAAAAGTATAGCTTAAAGTTACAATGGATGTACATTAGTTGTAATATGGTAAAAAATAAATCATGCTGTTGTCAATCGCAGATCACAGAAAAAAGCACTTTTGCCAAATTAACACCACTATTTGACAACACTTTTGAACTAAATCACGAAGTGTCAAACAATAGCAATTTGTCTAAATTCCATTATGCTATAGCATTATAGCGCCACTATTTGATAACACTTTATACAGCCGGTTTTTATTAAGCAATGGTAAGGAAAGAAAATAAAATACAAATTAGGAATTGATGAGGAAAACCATTGTGAGTAATTTCCGGCATATATATTTAGAAAATAAAAACCCACCAGATATAGTTTCCCTTCATTTCATTGCTTGGGTAAATGTATGTATGGTGACCCACTGGCAAAAAAAAGTAAGAAAGCCACAATACTTTTACCTCTTCTAACAACAATGTTGCTTTCGGTGGCCCTAGATGTCTTCAAAATAGAGACAACTGGCTTCATAATATTGTTTTGATCAGCCATATCTTGCCACCAAGTCTGGATGGCCTTGAATTTTCTTGCGGCATCTATCTTAATAAATAACAAAATTTAGGTTAAAATTTAAAAAATATATACAAAATGTATTAACAAAATCAAATATTAGTTTCTTGTATAAGATCATATCATTCTCATAGCAAATCTAAGATGTTCTTCATTAAGACAAAAACAAAGTCAGTAAGAGAATATTGCCTAGCACACACGAAATACAAACAAATGACAGGCGTAATAAATAATTTCAGTTCACACCACTAAAGAGTCAACAACAAACCTTCATCATCACGCGCATCCGAAGCATAAAGCTTTTGAGCTGATTCAGAACTGAAATGGCATAGTACAGTCCTCAAATTTCTACGATTTTTGTTCTCGCAGTCATAACCCAATAGCTTATGAAAATTTAAGTGTTCCTGGAATAAAGCAAGTGGGAATTTAACATAATTTCCAGAATATGACAGCACCATTAGTGTAATTTTGTTCTGCTTACCATTTTTTTCTTGACAAATAATTGGCTTGCCAGGAAAACAACCAATATCACCACACTTCGATCACTGCAAGCGCCATTATGCTGAAGTAGATCACTAATCTGTAGTACCTATAGAATAATATACCCAAATTCAATCATCTACAAATAAATGATGACTGATAGTGTCTTAACTTAAAATTTCCCGAACTTTCATAGCATTCTTTTTATAGCATGCATTCTTTGTGAATTGTGAACTTTCATGTGCAGGGGGATTTAATTTGACGCGTACAATAGGTTATAGGTTATCTCAAGTGACATAGAGCACGTGTTAAATTCTTGTTTATTTTAGATTACATACAATACAACCATAATGATTACACATTTTGATGCAATTTTGAATGCCTGCAGAATTTATTTCACTAATATAAGAGTTCTATTCCAACCTTGAAAAGGGTTTGATGATGAATATATGCAAATATGTAATTCTCATGCAAGTATTAATGCACTGCATAAATAATAAATTTTAGGATAGTATGTTTAAGAGGTGTCTACAAGAGATTTATAACCAAACATGACAGAAGTTGAATCTGCCTAGGCAGAAGAGGTGAGATCAAAACCAGACACGGTCTATAGCTTAATTGGACATGCCCACTGACCTGAGCATTTAGGCGGGTGTTAGGTACATCTTACAAAAATAAGTAGGCCATACAAGCTTATTTCAATAATCCTCTTACATAATCCTATTGTTAATAATGAGTTCGTGTTTTCACGAAATGAGTGTGTTTAATATGCGCCTGTTCTGATTGAATACATTAGTCATCATCAGTTGAGTCAGTTGATGCAACTTGAGAACTGTTTACTAGATTGTTAATTGACCTAGATGTGACACTATTTATAAAATGACCAAAGCATTTACAAAAGGTGCATTAAGTATTGAAACAACTGCCATTACACCCTCTACCAAGCCCCCCATTAGTTGTTGGTTTTGAAATACTAATGGATGAAAATGAATTGGCATATGGAGGTTAGACCATTGGGGCATCAATCAATAGTTGGATTGGAGACATGCAAAAGCTTTTCTATGAAGGTGCCCAACATCATTTTTAGAAGTACCAGAAACTGGAAAGTGTTAAAGAGCATCAAACCAAGAAATTAAAGTACCAGAAACAGATTCGAATTTGGATCTTGACATGTCGGTGGTTTTTAACAGTGGGCATCATGCCAGGTTCAAGTTTGCACAGGATAATCTCTATTCTAGTTCTAATATCAAGAATGAAAGGTTATTGAATAACCTCTTTTGACATAAGTCGTCAAGGGGTAACTGCTTTTGAACACGCATTAAGGAACTGTTAGGATAAACAATTCAATAAAGCACATTTTGATAATTGTTTCCGCAACATTATGTATAAGATGTTTCTATAGGCTATTATGGGAACATTATGAAAATAAACCGGAAAAAAAATAACTTGTGGAGATATCACAACTAACTTAGGCAGATATCAACTTACATTTCAGTCAAATTTTATTTTATTTCTAACAGATACTGATAGAGACTTAGATGAAGAAGTTGGGCTTGACTTTGGGCATAAGCCAAAAGTGTGGAGGGTTTATACTAGAAGACGTGACAAAGGAATAAAGGAATAGATTGTAGGAGTTTGTTACGATAAAATAGGGAAGAGAGAGAGAGAGAATAATTATAGGAGTTGTTACTATAATTAATCCTATAATTAATGAGTTTGTTACTATAAAATAGGGAAGGAAGAGAGAGAATAATTAGCTAAGTTTATGACTATAAAATAGAGAGGAAATAAGGTATCTAGGTATTCTATTTTTTGATTTGAGAATCACCGTCTTGGTGAGGGAAGCACTGCGTGCTTAGGGGCTGATAGATATTCTCTATCAGTTTGTTATTTTCATCACCGTTACTTCTTTGTAATTGTTCGTCCGTAATAATACAATTACAACATTCTTTTACTATTCTATTCATATATTCATTGTTCACTCATATATTCATATAAGAACCCATCAATTGGTCCGACCTGCCGGATTCGAAACGCACCCGTGACGGAGATTGTTCATGACAAGGATGGGTGACAGAATTGAAGCTTTGGAAACACAGATGGAGAGTGTGACAACACAATGTTGCAAGGGCTGGCTCTACAAATGCAACAGCACGCTAAGCAGATGCAACAACAAAGCTTGACTTTAACTGAATTGAGCAAGCAGATAGGTCAGAAGGGAGTGACTCAGGAGGATGACACCTCTGTTGGTCATTCATCACAGAGCGTGTCTCGCCTTGCCGGGAAGAAGGTGAAGCTTCCGGTGTTTGAAGGTGAGGACCCTGTTGCGTGGATTACGCGCGCGGAGATTTACTTTGATGTGCAAAACACGCCGGATGAGATGCGTGTGAAGCTGTCCCGTTTGAGCATGGAGGGTTCAACAATACATTGGTTTAACTTGTTACTGGAAACAGAGGATGACCTCTCTTGGGAAAAACTGAAGAAGGCCTTAATTGCGCGCTATGGCGGGCGACGCTTAGAAAACCCGTTTGAAGAATTGTCCACGCTACGTCAAACCGGAAACGTGGAGGAGTTTGTGGAAGCTTTTGAGCTTCTATCGTCACAAGTGGGTCGATTACCAGAGGCTTTGAATTTGAATCAGCTTAAGAGTCATTTGTTGCGTGCTCAACAACAAATGAAGAAGTATGCAGATACAAAGAGAAGAGATGTACAATTTGATGTCGGTGAATGGGTGTTTTTGAAGCTTAGACCTCACAGACATCAGTCAGTGATCAAGAGGATTAATCAAAAGCTAGCTACTCGTTATTATGGTCCTTTCAAAATTGTGGACAAGGTGGGAGTTGTAGCATACAAGTCGCAATTACCTGACCCTTCTAGAATTCATCCAGTTTTTCATGTTTCATTGCTAAAAAAGGCTATAGGTGAATATCAGGCTCAAGGGGCACTACCTACAGAATTAGAGGTCGCACTTGATGATGACTTTTATCCAGAAAAGGAGTTTAATTCAGTGGAAGAACAAACATGTTGATGATGCCACATGGGAAGACAATGCTTATCTCAAGGGGCGGTTTCCAAATTTTAGCCTTGAGGACAAGGCTGTTGTGAAGGACCGAGGTGTTGATAGAGACTTAGATGAAGAAGTTGGGCTTGACTTTGGGCATAAGCCAAAAGTGTGGAGGGTTTATACTAGAAGACGTGACAAAGGAATAAAGGGAAGAGAGGGAAGAGAGGGAGAGAGAGAATAATTATAGGAGTTGTTACTATAATTAATCCTATAATTAATGAGTTTGTTACTATAAAATAGGGAAGGAAGAGAGAGAATAATTAGCTAAGTTTATGACTATAAAATAGAGAGGAAATAAGGTATCTAGGTATTCTATTTTTTGATTTGAGAATCACCGTCTTGGTGAGGAAAGCACTGCGTGCTTAGGGGCTGATAGATATTCTCTATCAGTTTGTTATTTTCATCACCGTTACTTCTTTGTAATTGTTCGTCCGTAATAATACAATTACAACATTCTTTTACTATTCTATTCATATATTCATTGTTCACCCATATATTCATATAAGAACCCATCAGATACTTTATGTGCCTTGTGATTCTGTCAAGGTTCAATCCAGATAGATATAAAAAATTCAATCTTTATTGCTTGAGAACAGACGAACTTTCTACCTTAATAATTGGTTCCTGTTAAGAGTCCTACATCAGACAATATATGGCCTGAGCATGTGTTTATAAGTGGGGGCAATCCTCACCTTAAAAACCAGTTTTAGCCGGTTTTGTAGGATTGAGTTAGGTCCAACCCACACATTCTAAGATGGTATCAGAGCCTCATCTAAGATCCATTGGGCCACCCACCAACATGTGTTTATAAGTGGGGGCAATCCTCACCTTACAAGACGGTTTAAGCCGATTTTGTAGGGTCGAGTTAGGCCCAACCCACACATTTTAAGAGGTCCAAACAGGATTATTATTTATTTACTTTTAGAGTACATCAGTTAGACACCACATCAATAGTAATATTAGGGTATTTACCTCAGGAAAATTCCCCAGCAACGTGGTCAATTTCTGGGATAATATGAAATTGTACAGTGCATCTGAATATTCATTAACTGACATGATTGACATCTTGCCACCTTTTTCATAAACTTCCTGTAAAAGAATTGAGAAATAAATCTAACAAACAAACAATAAATTATTATCAGCACTCAAAAGAAATCTAAAGAAATTGAAGACCTTCAATGAACAGACATTGTGAAGTTCCTTCTGGAAGTAATAATCAAGTAAACACCAGATTGCTTTGCCATCAACAAGGGAATGGAAATTGTCAACTGTGCACTTATAATTGTCACAAACAGCCTGCCAAAAATAAGTGGCAAACATGAATTGCAGAAAAGATAAGGAAATATTTGTTGTAACTATAGATGAAACAAATTGTAACATAATAACAAGTATGGTTGAACAACAGGAAGTCAGTACCAATTTAGAATAAAACAATATGTGCATCAAAAGATAAAACTAAAAGAAACATCATGCTCAGGCATAAAGAATATTACTGATGAACCTCTTGTAAAACAAGAAAAACATCTAGGAAAATTATTATGCATTCAATAATCACCCTTTACTAATTTTCATATCATACCATAAGATATAGGCAGTAGAGTGAACTGTGGTTTGGGTGCTAAGAAGATTAGAGAGCATAAATTGAGTTATATTATGAACAATTCACAGCAGTGTCTATTTCTGAAGGAAATCGTCTACAGGATAGGTATAAGGATACTGTTTTACCTGAATCCATTTCAAAAGCAATTCCAAAGAACTAGAATTTGCATCGCTTGCGAGATCCTGTAAGGTAGTGAAGAAAATCAAAACTCAAGTATAAAAGCAAGATACGAGCTTAAAGAAAAAGAAAGAAAACAAGAAGTGCATATATTCCTTGTATAATAAGTAATAACTAAATCAAAACACAACATGGAAAATACCGTGCCAAGTCCGCGGATTTTAGAAATTTCCCCAACTAAACTTGTTTTGTCGACCAGCAAAGGCAGCTGCAAATCCAATGACACAACAGACTGTTAGTAATCAAAATCCAAAGGTGAAACTAAAAATTTTAAGGTAAAATAGAGATCAAACCTGCAAACGAACAAATATATTCCAGAGCAAAGAAATTGTGAGTTCTTTATCTCCATTAATAATATCTTCTGTTGCAATCATTATGTCGTCTTCATCAAGTAATGAGACCCCAGCTAGTCTAAGATATTGTAGGGCAACACCACAGTTTACCAAATTTTTCTTACGGGTGTCAGAAGGAACTACAATTTTCTGTCCACACAATGGCGGTGAATCAAGATTCTAAAATAAATGGAGACAATCCAGAAATTTATTAAAATTGGGGTTGAAAATAATACCTTGAGTATAGAAGAATTGTTTTGCAAGAGATGAATAGCTCTACATAGTTTTAGTCCATCTTGAAGATCTATGAATAAATCTCTGACCCGGAAGTCATACTCAACAAGAGGCCCCTGCAAAATCATAAAACAGTCTGATTAGATTTTATCATAAAACATATCTAGAACTTGATAAGATGCCTTTCTTTACAAATTTATGACACGGTTAACACTAGAGTGGATCATCTACTATCGGCATAAATTAATAGACATACAGATGCTAGCTTGACAACCTCACAAGTAAATGAGCACAACACCAAGAAGATAAACCAACCTGTTGGTGAGACACTTTGTAACCTAAAATAATCAAATGTGTCAGAAGATTGCCTTCTCCGCGCATTACATCAGAGGACAGAAATTCTAGTTTCCAATGAAAAAGAGAAAGAAAGGTCAGCTTACAATGTAGAAACAATTGTCACAAAATACTAACAGAAAACAGCACTGAATCATACACATAATTACCCTGAATCACTTGACTACTTGATTTAATCCAAAACTCTGCTTTGAATAGTAAAGGTGAACCACCATCCAATCCATCAATACCATACTCAATAGGGAGGCAACATTGACATTTAGCTTTATCTAAGATAAGCACAAGCAACAATATTCTCTTCAAAATCACATTCCCCAAATTCTCATAGTATCCAGACCTATAAACTCCTTCAACCATCTTGTTATAAGCATAAGCTTTTGCTAAACCCTCGTGTGTAAAAAATAGTTTGTCAATGACCATTTTTAGAAATATAGCATCTTGATCAGACTCTCCATCCCCATTAGACACTAAAGAATCCCCACCAAAAATTATATACAGTCCCATTCGCAGCCAACTCGGATTATAACACATAAGGACTTTTACTGCCTTATCCTTCAACCCTAAATCTGTTACTATTGGGCAATGTGCCTTCATATTTAGCCTTCCTTCATCAATTGTCTGATAAATAAAACAACCAAAATGAACATATATTCAGCAATTCATTGATTACATCATAAAATGAGTTTCATATCAGTGTTGTAAATAGCAATATGAGAAATATCGGAAAGTGTAGCGGGCAAATAGAGGAAGCCGCAAAGTGGTTAAAATAAATAATTATATATAAAATAAAACATGCTACACTAATAAAAGCTACATCAACAGATATTTAAAAAATTGGCGCCCATTAAATTAAAATTCTCAAGTTCAAACAACAAAACATTGCGGGAAAAAACTAAAAACAAAAATTGAAAATGAATTAAAACTCAATAGTTAAGCCGCTCAAACTTCAAATCAGCTAATAATTGGTAGTTCTAAGTCAAACTAGTTATAAAAGATATAACTATTCTCCTTTTCCACCACTTACTATAAAAATAAAAGATATAATTATTCTCCTTTTCCACCACTTACCATAAAAATAATACTAAAGTTCCTCTATTTTGAGCTAGCGAAGTCGAAATGCAGTACCAGCTTTCATATAGGATAGCCAAAATTATGATACGCAATACCGGATGTTTAACAACAATGTTTCATATTGAACCATGATAATTCAAATTTCAATCGCGTGGAAGAGAGAAAACAAACCTTGGTAACTTGATTCATGACATGGAAGATATCTTCACAAGTTCCGAGACTCAAATAAACACTCATTCGCTGCTTGAAATCATCAAAACTACATACATCCTTCAGAGAATCCTTTAATCGTGAAAACAAAGAATTCTGCGAATCCGCATCAGACACAATTTCCTTACCAACTCGCGACAAGGAACATGCCGCAGTCTTCCTCTGGCGTTTGGGAGTTCGCCATGACGAATCAACTCCAACCGAAATCCTCGATACATTATCACGTTTCCCCTTGGTCGGCGGAGAAGCATCGGAGATCTGAACACCAGCAATTGAAAGATCGCAACCGCATGAAGCAGGGGATTCGAGAAGGAAATTGAGCCAAACGGTTAGGGATTTGGCTAGGGATTTGAGCGATTGTTCTTTTTTTCTCTGCGCGTTTCGAGAAGAGTGGGACTGTTCGATTTGAATTGCTTTGAGTTTTCTGGAAGCTGCTGCTGAGGATTTGTTAGGGCGACGCATGACTGTGGTGTGTTTGGATTTGGGAGCGGTGAAGTATTGAGTTGAGGGAGATTGGGTGTCGAGAGAGAAAGAGGAGCGTTTGGGGGTTTTGAAAGGGGTTTTGAAGTTTGAAATGTCTTTGAGGAGTGAAGAAGATCGGAAGGGAGAGGGTGAGGGTGAGGGTGATGGACAAGGAAGATCTGTGTTACCTTCTTCCATTGCTGTTCGAAGCTAATGTTGAATACACACTGTTAATGGAAGAGAACGAAATGAAGAAGAAGAACAAACGAAGAATGAACTTTTGCTATTGTTTGTAATTTTTGTTTGCTTCAGAGTTTTGAATTTCGAATTTCAACTAGGGTGAGGAGAGCGGGTAAATCAAGAAAATTAATTCAATGCCATGCTCCAACGTTCACCGTTTCGTGTTTTTTTTTTCTTTCAAATTGTAAATCCACATCACTTCCACTGTAGTTTTTTTTTTTTTTTGAAACATCACTTCCACTCTAAAGTGCTACAGTAAATTTTTCTTTTATAAAAGTATTTGCTGTGTTCTAAAATATTTACATTGAAAACTTTTGCGCATAAATTCATAAATACATTAATGTTGTCCTAAGACATTATACTTTTATAAAATTAATTATATTAAAAAAATATATATATTTATTTTAAAACAAAAATTTATTTGTTAAAACCGTGTAATTTTGAAATAGAGTATAATACAAAAAAACTAATGGTGAATATGTCAAATATGTCCTTTATTTGATTGTTGCCGCATGGTTAATTTAACCAAGGAGAGTACATGATAATAGTAGCAGGAAATATTCATTTTTCTTGTTTTAAATTGTAAAGAAAAAAAATTATTTTATTTAACTATTTTATTTTTAAAAATTTATCTTTTCTAAAATAAAATTAAAAGCAAATTGTATTTAATTTGCTTTCACTCTCATTTTTTCTATAGATAATAATCAATCAAAATTATTTCTACATCTTCTATAAAACATATTTTTTTTAAAAACACATTAAATAAGTGTGAAATATATGTTTTTTTCTTATAAATTAGCACAGAGTAGTGCGTCTTATGAGTTATATCATTGATTAGGTAATTGAGTGTTTAGTAAGTTGAAGTTCGATTGTGTTTGTTGGAAATTCATTAAAATCTATGATAAATTTTTATCAATTTTGATGAACAATATTGTTATTATTATACAATGACAATGAAAAGAAAAGAAAATTGAAAAAGAAAATATATTAGAGTTTTTGTATAGTAACTCTCTGTCCACAAACTGTGGAAAATCTTTATTCACTTACAACTGCAAATTCTGTGAATAGGGATGACAAAAAAACTCGTACATGTGAATACCCGTGGATAAAATTCGTCACGGGCACGAGTAGGATATTTTAATGGGTATCCACGGGTAAAATAAACGGATATTTAGTTACTCGTTTACTTACGGATATAGATATGGATTTGATGATACTCGTATCTGCGGGATCCAGATCCATTAATAATTAACAAAATTATTTAAATATTAATTTATTTAATCTATAATTATTATTATTATTATTATTATTATTATTATTATGTTTAATATGAAACTATTATTATTTTGTTGAGCATAATATAATTATTTGAAGAAAGAAGAAATAAAATGAATGTGATTTATTTTTGTTATTATTATTATTATGTGTTAAATTTGAAATTATTTTTTTGTCTTTAAAAAGGATAAAAAGTTTAGTTTATTATATATTTTTTAAAAAGAAATATTTAAGTAAAAGTATCCATAGATACCCGTATATACCCACGGGTATCTCAAAATCCACGGATATCCATCTAACAGATACTCGCATGGGTATGGGACGGATACAGATATCATATTTATTAAATGCGGCGGATAGTGGGAAATTAGTATATGTGTCCATGGGTACCCATTGTCATCTCTATATGTGAATACAAGTTGTGTACAATAATAGGGGTTACTCCCTCTATTTATAGTTTTAGGTTAACTTTCTCCATAAGGCAAAGTCAAAAACACAAAAGTCCAAAATACATACTTTAGATCTAAATCAAAATTTGTGTGTAGCAACCTGCTGACAACACTTAACTACCTACAACTCGATAAACTAAGTTTTTCGACACCCATTGTGTCGAGCAACAACCTGCTTCAACACAAGGAATTACACTTTCAACACATCACTTATTTCATTGTGTCTAAGCTATCTATATTCATCACAACTCTTAGTCTTTTGAACACTTCGGTCTACCCACCCTTCGTCATGATGTATGCAATTCGATTCTCAGTTATGTAGTGTTTCAAGTTCATCTTCCCATCTGCTACCTGCTCTTGAAGATAACGGAACCTCATCTCGATGTGCTTGCTTCGACCATGTGATATCAGATTCTTGGTCATATTGATAGCTGGCATACTGTTGATCTTCATGGTAATTGCTCTATGATATTTCCTCGTGATTTCTTTGACCAGATTCACCATCCATGTTGCTTGACATGCACAAAGAGAAACAATTATGTACTCGGCTTCGCACGACAATAATGCCACTACTGGTTCCTTTATAGAACTTCAAACAACGCGTGCACCACCTAACATAAACACATATCCTGTTGTGGATTTTTTATCCTCAACATCACTATACCAACTTGAATTAGTGTACTTCACTAACTTGCATTCTTTTCCTTTATCAGCTGCAGGAAATAAAATGTCATAGTCAAGAGTTCCTTTCAGATACCCTAGTATCCTTTTCGCCGCTCTTAGGTGTGATATCTTTGGCTTATGCATGAATCTACTTATCATACCTACATTGTATGTGTTGTACCCCAAAATTTTCCCTCTCATTTTATCAAGATTTCCCCTCACCAGACTCTTTGAACTCCAGACAGGATTAGGGTTTGCTCTACTCAAGACATCTCCTTGCACTGATGACCTGAAATTAGGGTTTGAGTTTGCACAGGGATTTTTGGACTTCCAATGCTCAAAATTACTTTCATACTTCATTTTGGACTTATAAGATTGCCCATACCAAGTTTTAAGCCTTGAATCAAATTTTTGCCCAATCAATTGGACAGTTGACTTAGAAATCAGTTGTATTAGGGAAAAAGTCAATTATGGTCAATCTATAGTCAAACCTCATAATTTTTTATCCACATCAACATTATGGACTCCTATGAATCATTTGATCAAGTTTGGACCACAACTCCTCAAGAAATTTGATCAGATCATCAAAAGGGCAAAATGGTCATTTTTAGGGTTTTGACTACACAAGGGCAATTTCTGATTTTTCACCTAGCCAATGGCAAATTGGGTTCAAGCATTGATTCAAGGGCTCAATGGCATCATCTTGACCTAATCACAAGGTTCAAAAGATCTCAAAAGCATTGGATTGACAGATACATTTTTTAGTCAACTGATCAAAAATCAACTATACACTAAAAAGTCAAACTTTGACTTTTTGGTCAAAATCAAGTGCCAAGGGACATTTTTCATCAAGATGTGTCAAAACATGAAATTTTTCATCAAGAAACCTAATTTTGCAAATTAGGGTTTAAGATTGAAATTTTTCATAACTTAGAATTTTTCTAAGTTATGAAATTTTCTTATTTTTTCCCAACTTTGCCCAACATTTTCTCCATGATGCAATTGGATTCAAACAAAACTTCCAACATGAAAGTTGTATTCCTCCATAAAATCTACAACTTTGACTCACAAAGTTTTCCCAAAAGATGCATGGATCTCAAGTTATGATTTTGTGAACAAGGGTCCAAAAACTTTCTAACTTAGTGAAATTTTGCCCTAGTTTAGGCAGGATTTTGACCTATCTTCATGGTAATTTTTCACCTAGCTCCATTTGGAATCTAAAAATACATTTCAAAGATGGATTGTAGAGCATGTTACAAGCTTTCCAAAATGTCCAAGAACTCTCCAAAATCATTTGTGGTTAGGGAGAATCGAAGGTTTGAATTTGGAAAAATATCACTTTGATCCATGGCATTTTTCATGTTGCTACAAATTGCAAATTTTATCCATCCTTGCTTGTACTTGTTTACAGGTATCTAAACCATTCCACACTCAAAAATTGAATGCAAACTCAATGGATTAAGGCATTGCTCTGATCATTAGAGATTTACACATTGAGTTAATCCAAAAATGGCAAAAAGTTAACAATGCCATTTTGATAAAGATGGCTTTATGTCAATTTGTTTCCCTTGAGCCTTGAACTCATCTCTTTGCAGCAAAAAAACTCCATAAACTTAGGCAAAAGTATACCAACTTTGTGCAGCTAGGAAGGAGGCCAGTACAGCCCTTTGCATTGTCATTTCACACTTTTCTTCAAAACCAAGTCAACTTGCAAAAACCACATATCTTTGCAATCTGATAAAACCAAGCTTTATAAACATTTGAACCAACTTTTGCATATCACACTAAGTCAGAAGCACGAGCTAACCACTTCTCAAGCCTTCCAAAACACCAAAATCACATCTTCTTGCAAAACAGGGCAGGTTTTGCATTTTGATTTCCAAATCACAAACCACTCATGCATTTTGTCCCAAACCAGTTCCAATACACTACATACAACCCACCTAAGCTATCCCAACCATTAGCCAGTGACTGTAACTCCATTTACACCCTTCACCATTTTTGAATTCTGACTGTGCAGGTTGACTCCTACAAGCTTATTCAGGCAAGTTCAAAGATAGCTAGGCATTGGGAAAGCTCAAAGGAACTTCAAGCAAGCTCACAAGCATCTCAGGCCTCACTGAAAACCCCTACATTTCTATACTCGAGTTCAACTGAAACAGGTAAAGTTCAAACTTCTATCTCTCTATTTAGGAATCATTAAGCTTAGGTTTGTGAATAAAAAATGTAGTACTCATTGCCCTTAAGCTGTACATATGCATAGATTTCATTTAAGTTAACTGAGTTGGAAGAATTTGAATGATGAACTTTCTGAAAAAACTAGGTTAGAAATTAGGGCCAGAGAAATTCTCTCTGGTCTTTGAGAGTTAGATTAAGTTTTTTATATGGTTAGAATCGTATGATCATGCTCTATAACTTTCATGTTACAAGTTTTTGTTTTTAAGTATTGAAACAGGAGATACGAATTTGTACATAGCAAGCGTTTTCTTGTTCAAAGGTTGAAGACGAAGCTGAGATTTGGGTTGGGCCTGTTTGTTCCATGCTATTGACACACCCATATTGTTGTTTACA